GACGACGCGTTCGACGCGCTTAGTAGCGAAGACGAATACGGAGAAGACGAAGACAGTGAGTATCCCAAACAACCGGACTTTGGCGACGATATTATACGCGCGTCCTTCAGGACGAACCAGAAAGCCGACGCATCTTCGTCGGCCAACCGGAGCAGCAGCCGTCGTCGTGCGCTCTGCACAAACAACTCGAGGACTATCTGCGAATGCTCAATCATTGGTTTTCGTACGTCGTGCCGGACGACACCGTGGCTCAGGTCTTGGACATGAAGAACGTTACGGACCGTTTGGAAACTATATGCCTCCTCTTTCAACTCGTCGTAAACCTCTTGGTGTATACCACAGCCGACTCGATTCACGCAAACTACACCTACAGGTCAAAGGTCCTCTGGCGCAACTCGGGTATCATTGCAAAGTTTTTGAAAGTCGAGTTGGAAGACTACACCAACACTCTCATCGTGTTCAACGCAATCGTGAAAAAGACCATCGTCGAGTTGGACTACTCAATCTACTCCGAGGCGGCCAACAAGTACATAGAGAAGTTGCAATCGCCCGACGTGTCCAAGATTAGGGTGTGCATGGACCCGTTTAGCATAATGCGAGAGACCTGCCTCGACTCGCTCTTCAAGTCACTGATCAACCTCATTACAAACACCATGCTCTACGACGACTATGTGCGGAGAGAGCTCGTGTCGCCGATACGTTTCGGCGGGTACGAGTCGGTGGCCAAAAAATCGCGCAACGCCAACCTGGTCAACGGAAAGTTGGGAGAGCGACTGTCTTCCATCTTTTCGGACTCGCGGAGCACAGACTTTGGCGCCGTCTACGGCACCGTCGAAGAGCTACGTAACGACCGGAGGAGGCTCTACTCGGACAGTAACGTGTTGGACAATTCGCTGAGGGCCAACGTGGAGCTAAACAGCACCATACAACGCGTCCTGTCGCGCAACGGCAGCTTCGTCCATCTCTTTTCGCACACCGACTCGAACCAGACCGTGGTCAACCGGATCACGACCATGCACATGTTGAGGGTGGCCGTCTCGTACACTCGCTGTGTCTCCATCGTGCTCTCTACGCCCCTGTTTACCGAGAGGACCTTTCTGCGCGGAGACGTTGCCGTCTCGGCCGTGAATCGCGGCGACTACGTAAACGACACCGTCATGGTGGACAACCTGTCGACTGTGCACGCTTACGCCACTTCGATGCGAAACACAGAGACGATAGATCACAAATTGTACCCCGAGATGGTTAGCGTCGTCTTCGCCAAGCCGATTCGCCTGTCCATGCGCTACTCGGAAATCACCCGAATACTAAGGTATTTGGAGCGAGTCAGCGGCGAGGTGGACGCCTACCATATCGTGCACTGTGAGGTGACTTCGTACGACATTCAGCAGCGGGCGTCGTCGCCACGCACGGACGAAAACGGCGTCAGCCTCACGTCGATAAAGATGACGGTAGACGAGCTCGGTCAGTGCGTCGAACAGCACATACGAAACGTGCCAACACTCTTCCTACCCAACAGCCTGAACGAATCGAACGACCTCGCGCTGTTGCAGAGGGGCGTCGATAACCTCATCATTTGCCAGATTCAGCCGCGCATAGACGAGTTTTCAAAGTATATAGCCCTGTACATGGCAAAGACTCCGAAGGACATACCGTTTTTGAGAAAAACGGCCTTCAATATGCTTTCGGCGATCGTCTTCGGCTACATTAACCAGGCTAGCAACGCGATCCAGAGAACGCGACGGACGGAACAGATCATGTGGTGGAGTGATCAGACGACGCTCCTGTCCAACATGATCACCTTCCTCAAGGAACAGCTCCGCGAGTATGAGCGGGTTACCACAATGGAAGACGAAGCGCCCGACGAAACGTCTGACGAGAAAAAGGGACGACGGGATAGGGTAGAAGAGACTGCATCTTTAATGTGTTGAGTAAAAATTGTAACCTAAACCGTACTATATCTTTCGGCGTATTTTTTCGGATCGCGGACGATTAGAGTGCCGCAGTAGGCGGTGACGCCTATAAACAGTGCGCTCACGACTCCCACGCCCGTGTACCAACCAAAGTCGATCAGATCGGGAGACTCATCGTCGTCGCTTTCGGGGTTGCCGTTCGAGTCGTTATCGGTTATGTCTGCTTCACTCTCGGCTTTCTGCACATCTCTCTGCGGATCGGTATCGTGTATGCTATCGTCGCAAATGTGCGTGACGATGAATGTCTCGACGCTCATGCCGAGTTGATTGGTGGCCGCGGAACCGCCGCAGCCGCTGTGTACGTAGTTGTCCTCGGTCACCGTATAAGCTTTGCCGTCGTACATGAACATGTAGACGGAGGCGCGATCGTTGCACTTGGAGCCGTCGAGCGACGATTCCCACATGGTACGGTTGAAGGGCTCGTCGGGTAAGGGGTAGTTGTGGATGGTCTTGGCGTCTTGAAAGTGGAACGCGTAACCGTAATTTTCGTAGGGATTCAAACTATCGATGTACTGAGACAGGTTGGTTTCTTGCCCGTCGACCATTATGGCCTTGCTGTGAACAAGATTTTTAAAGGATACCCCTACTCGATAGTAGTTTTCGTCCGCCGAAAACACGAGACGCCCGTGAGACGGGTCGGTGATGGCCATCTTGAGACGCCACATGTCGTTAGTCAGGTCCGTGACCCCCCAACATGTACCGTCCTCTGCGGCGAAAATGAAACGCTTCGTGTCCCAGTTGTACGAGGGAATAATCAGGCTGTCGTTGAAGAAATTTAAGATGACTGGTCTGCCGCGAATGCCCGCCAGTTCCCTCTGCAACATGGCCTCGCTCATGAGCGTGTGCGTTCTGTGTAGACCGGAAACCTGAGAGTGCGCAATCGCAGAGGCGTCTTGAATTCTGAGAGTCCGGAGAACGTCCATAAAATACTTGTAGTCGCGATCGAAGCTATAGCCGCTTTGAGCGACCGTCTGCTTGGCCTCTGAGAGCGCTTCCTGAATGTCCGTGTCGATGTCGCGCGAGCGACATTGGTGCCCGAGCCAACCGCCGTACATTATTGCAGAGTCGTTGTATCTGCTCGAGCGATCCCTCATCACGGATACTTCGTTCGATGTAAAGAACCGATTGTAAGATTCGTACCACTGTGAGTAGGGCAAACTGCCCCCGTATCCCGGCGTGGAAGGGTACATGAAATACGACGCATTCTTCAAATGCTGAAAACCCACGGCGTGGGCCAACTCGTGTAACACCGTGTGTAATATGGTGTCCGCCGAGGCATTTACGACCTTTAGCGTGTTTATGTGGATCAGCTTGTCGTACACGGCGTGTGCCAGAGCGTCTCGGCTCCCGTACAGAATGCTACTAAAGTCGTATAGGCACTTTCGCAGACCGGGTCGCCCGTCTAGGTAGTTATCCTTGGTCGAGAGGTGCGGTTCGGTGTAGAAGCCGTTTTCGGTCGAGGAAAGGTACTCTCCCAGTTGAAAGGATATCGGAAAGGGCCTTTTGATGTGTAGCTGGTTCCGCCTGTCGGGCAGAGCGTCGAGAGACGAATTGTATTCCATGACTCGAAGATTGGAGCCGCAAAAGATGTGGCCGTTCAAGAGTTCGGCGGCGAGTTTCACCACGGCAGCCAGTTCGCGGTTGGTGAGCGTGCTGATGGCTTCGTCGTTCTTGATCACGTAGGTGTGTATCAACTGCGGGCTCCCGTAGGATGGGTCGTTTACGGAATTGCGTATGTCGGCGCTCAAGTCGTAGCGCGCCAACACTATGGAACTACATAAAGTTACGAGGACGAGAATACGCATCGTTATTATTTTATTTAACAATTACCCCTTGTACTGTTTATAGCATAGAGCACCTCCGCCGCCGAGGCCGAGGAGTCCTACGATTCCGATGAGAGCGGGTAGCCACTCGGCGTATTCGTTGCTCACCGAGAGGCACTCGCGCTTCTCGCCCGATGCGTCATCCACCATCTTTTTCGGCTTTTGACAGTACACTAGGGGCGGTCCGCCGTACAGAGTGTCGTTCTTGTCGCACGTGTACAGTACGGCGTAACTCGTCTTGTTCACTTTGAGTATCTTTGAGCGAACGTTGGCGACCTTGAGCAGACTCTGGCAGTAGGGCAATTTTTTATTGGCGTCTGATTTGGAGGCCACCAACGACGGCGCCACGAGTAGCGCAATCATTAAACCGATACGTACGGTCGTCATTTTTGTATTCAATAACAAAATAATCATGAGCACAGTCCCCGTGGCGCTTCTTTCGACGGTAGCCAGCTTCCTGTTTGGATGTTACCTATTTAGGTCGTGCGTTTCGCGAGATGTCTTGCAAAGGAGGAGCGCCTTGCTGGCGGACAAAACCAAACCGTACAGTAAATTGCCGTCGGGCTACGACGCCGTCACTGGCGCGGAGCGCTACCCTTACCACGAACAGGTGGCCATCAAGCACATGGCCGATACGTACGGTCGGCGAGCGAGCGTAGCGCCCGAGAGACACGATCTTTGGTTCCATTGGTAAATAAAAATGTCCGCTTCGACGAACGATCGGTACGACCGCCGTCAAGACCCGAGCAGGAGCGTTCCGAGGTCTAGCAAGAGCGACGAAAAGCAAAACTCGCTCATGAAAGCCTTCGAGGCCGCAAAGAACAAGAAATCCAAGAAGGGAAGAGACGAAGTGTCTGCGAGCAAGATGGAAAAGGAACGCTACTACGCCCGCATGAAGTTGCTCTTTTGGATCTTTTGCATCCTGGGTTATACCGGTTGGGTCGCCGGAGTAATGCACGGCCTCACCGACGGCAACTACATGTTTCGAGGCGTACTCGGTACCATACTTTGCATCGGAGGTCTTTTCTTTATGTTGATTGCACCGATATCCTCGGCGGTCATGAAACCAGAGTGTTCAATCCGTCAGTCGGGCCTATTGCAAGCCTCGTCGTGCCTGATAGTCATCATGCTCAGCGTTTTTGGGGTTGCCGTTTATCACATGTACATGCAATCTCTCGTGGCTAAATAAATTTACACTCTTTGAAACTTCTCGTCTTTGTCTTTATTATCGATCAACGTTTGCGGTATCCGTAAATTACCATCGCTCCGAGTGCGCTGCCGGACAGCATGCTACCAATGAGCCAGGACACGCCGTCGCGGCCATTGTCGTCGGGTTCCGCCGGGGGAGGACTGGATTTGTCGTCGACGGGATTCCCGTTGTCGTCGACCTCCACGGATTTGGCAGGCGTCGACTCGGCGCTGTTGGGATCGCTGTTCGTCGCCGGTAGGCGTCGACTCAGCAACAGGTTGCTGGAAGCCAATCGTTGTCCGAACCGTGTCCATGATAGAAGCGTTTTTGAAAAACCTGCTCGGCATCATGGTATTGGCCACGTTCATCGACGTGGCCAGGAGGGTCGGACATTGCTTCGACCATAGGTCGAGCAATTCCTCGGTCAGCACCTCGTCCTCCCTCGTACTGAAATAAATGAAGAGACCGAGGACGAATGGCCACAGAGTGGTCGCATCGAAATATTTCTTCACAAATGCTTCGACGGTCGCCTCGTCTTCGAAATTGCACAGGTGCATAACGAAGACGCGGCGACTAGACTTTTGAGAAATTTTGGTCACTACTTTGGTATATTCGGTCACGCAGGAGAAACCGAGAAAGGTTTTCAAAGCCTTAATGTTTTTCGGAGTTTTAAGAGTATCATAATTATCCAGGCGGCCGTAATTCAGGTCCTCCTGCGACGCCATGTTATGACGTATTAGTACGGATGAACATGTGGCGGCAGCGTTACAATTGAATGGTCGCAGGAGGTCCGATATTAAATTATAAAAGGCCGCCAGGATAGATTCGTTTTTAGACTCGACAACGAGGCGACAATCCCACACCCGCCGTTTTTCAATAATAACATACAATACATAAAAAAATAAAGATGTCATCAATTCCGATGTCTCCCGAGCGACAGACTCGTACTCCGTGGAATAAAAAAGTCCTCTAGAGAATTCTGCAACATCAAAGTCCCCAATTGATAGGCCGACCCCGGAGATGTAAACCCATGGATCGGTCAAAATGCTCGGATACTCTATGAGTTGCGCCAATTTAGATTTTTTTCTATCCGTCATTTTCCGACTTTCAATATTTGCAATTACATTCACGCATTGATTAAATTCCGACGAATAAAAAAACCCAGATTTATACACCAATGTTTTAATGGATTCGCAAATGTAATTTACCATGAGGGCCCTATGCTTTTCAATATTAATACTTAAGCCAATAAACTCGGCGAGTTCTCGGCGCATCGTCAACGACGTTAGCGCTGGTAAGATGAAATATTGCAGGAGAATTACCTTATTAGTTTTATCTCTGCTATCGTGACTGAACGTGTAGCTATAAGGATAAAATACTTTACCCTTGTAGCCGTTAAACATATTTAAAACAACGTGGGCGCGATTGCATTCATACCCTTGATAGTGAGTGAGCAAAAGAGGTTGCACCACGTGTTTAGGTTTTTCACGTGCGCCACGATAAAATACCCCATTTTCGCTGGAGTCTCCGTCCACCGGCAGCCAAACGGAATAGGGGGCCGACGCTACAGAATCCTCGAGAAACTTTAACAATTCCTTCGTTACATGTCTCTCGCTCATCATGCGGGCCACCTCTTCGTTAAGGTAATCGATGAATAAATGCCTTAAAGAATCAACGGGAGAATTGTCCAGATTAGCTATGGACCACATGGCGAAATGAATTAATAAAATGATAAGAGGAGATGGTTTCACCGGTACCGTTAGGAGGTCGTAGTCTTGCGGCATCTCCTTCCACGTCCTCGGAACGACGCCGGGAATGAATTTCACTTTGTCCTTGGTCATTTTCTTTCGCTTCAAACTTTCAAATACTTTCATACTGGTCGAGGCTGGTATGGTCGAATGATTGAAGGTTGCTTTCACCGGCGTCTTCAGATGATGGCCCGGAGCTTCTAGTCGTGCCGTCGGCATTGGAAATCGCCTGGACTCCATGTCTGCCAGTAGTAGTAGTCCTGTCGTTGCTGCGAGGGAGAGGGTAGGCTAGTAGTCGGTGGTAGTGTGTCACCCGTTTTATACCTCACTAAGACCCCCCTCTCACAGCCCATGTGACTCTCTGGCGGCGAGCTATTAGTAGCATTGACGTCAAAAACCACTCGAATAACAACCAACCTTGCATATTTCCATATCTAGTTACCGCTCGACATCTGACCTTGGCGATGAGACTCGCGTGAATGTAAGATCAGTTCCACGAACACTCGACAGTTATCAGTGACCAGACTTTGAAGATAAATTAATTTTCTAGAAAACATTTTGAGACGAAACTTACAGTGTCTGTCCTGTGCTGGCTTGCTGATACGACTACCACGAAAATGTTCTCATTTATATAATCCCTTCTATGAGTCACTTTGTTTAAGCTTAAATTGAAACTACTTCATATTCATTGTCTTGTCAACTTTTTAACTTTCCCTGGTCATTACCACCACCCTTAGTAACACTATGGTTCAACACTCTTCATTCTAAAAGTCAAAAATATTAAAGGGGTGTTTTTGTTTCTACCTAAATTTTTGTCTTCAAAGTTAGCGTCCCCACGCAACACGAAGGTTAAAACACTCTTAGTCACCAAATATTAAAGGGGTGTTTTTGTTTCTACCTAAATTTTTGTCTTCAAAGTTAGCGTCCCCACGCAACACGAAGGTTAAAACACTCTTGGTCATAAAATATTAAAGGGGTGTTTTGTTTCTACCTAAATTTTTGTCTTCGAAGTTACCGTCCCCACGCAACACGAAGGTTCAACACTCTTAGTCACAAAGGGCAAGATGCCTTAGACTTTCCACGTTCCTCTCCCCCCCCCCCACCCCCATACAACTATCAGCCTGTAGCAACAGCGCTCTTAGTCAGAAAGGGCAAGATACCTTAAACTGTCCACGTTCCTCCTTACCCTCACCCACACCCCCACACCCCCCCCCCTCCCCCTCCCCCCCTCTCCCCCACCCATACAACTATCAGCCTGTAGCAAACAGCGCTCTTAGTCAGAAAGGGCAAGATACCTCAGACTGTCCACGCCCCCCCCCCCCTCCCCTCCCCCCTCCCCCCATACAGCTATCAGCCTGTAGCAACAGCGCTCTTAGTAACAAAGGTCAAAATCCATACAAGATTGTTGCTTTGCTCCTCCCCCTCCACTTAAAATTGTTATCATCTAAAGCCGAAATATGCGTATATCTTTTGTGTACTTACTGACGTCAGCTATATGGATTGCAACGCCCCCTTTAGTGTATATATATATATATATATATTGCGAGTAGTGTTACACATCACGACACGACGACTAGTACTAGTACCGACGAAGATGCAGGACGTAATTGCAAGGTTCCGAACTTTCGAGGGTTGCCAAATGCGATACCCGACACCTAGGTGTATGGCATTTGCCGGCTTCCGTCGCCTCCTCGGGGTAAATTTCTGCCAAGATTGCAACCTCGTTGTGACAGACGAATACCTGAGACTCTCAAACTCCAACGCCTCGGCATTGGGAATGTGGGTGCATCCACATAAACTCCACGCCGCCGCATCTCCAGACTGCAAATTTATCAAGACATATCGGGACCCACGGCTGTTTGTGGATTTCGACCCAGTAGTCTACGAGTCACCAGTTCACCCCACCATGTGCAACGTTATGGACAGAATGACGTCATTTGGAAGGCATTCCAAGTACTACAAAGAGTTTGCAAACGCCGGATTCTTTATGAGAGAATGCGAGACAGCCGAAGGAGACGTCACCTGCTTTTATTGCTGAATGCAGGCGTGGATGGGAAACTTCAACGAAGAAGAAGACCCCTGGGTGCTTCACGCTCGGCACTCGCCGCACTGCTTCGTCCTCCGAATGCTCAAGAGCGAGGAGTTCATCCGAAAGACTGTGACGGACTATAGATTAAGTGAACGATTCTGGGCACTGGCGCTCCCCGAGGTGAAGAGTCTCTTGATGGAGCGAACGACTCGTTCCAAGACACTGGACTATCTCAGAATGTATTGTGACCTGTCGCGGCCGGACAACGTGAGGGACTTTGTGGCTGCAATTTCGGACAAGGGATACTACGACTTCCGAGTGCCCGCCAGACTGTTGAATCCTGTGGTGATCGCTCCGCCGTGCGTCCCTCTGGTTGACGGAAGAGAAGACGTCGACGCTCCCGACGAATAATAACAATAAATCGCAATCAAACAAAATATGGTCCAAGTTTCTTTTCCAATCTGGTCCAGACTAGAAGTGGTCTGTCGACCCTTTTAAAGAGTTCTTCGATAGAGTGGGGATGCGAGAGAACGAAATGTAGAAATTTACGTTCTTCTGGATCGGCGTACACGTAGGGGTTGGTGCGAAGGGACTCGAGTTTGTTTTTTACGCGGAGTAACCAAGCGACGCCTATATCTTCTCGCCAGCCATCGTGTAGCGTCTTTAACTTTATGATTAGGGAACGAAAGTCAAAGTGGCCGTGCACGGCAACGAAGCGATTAAAGTTGCGAACAGTTGCCTCGTAGTCTGACGAATTGAGGAGATAGTCCCACAAGCGCTGCGCCATCGGCACGGTTCGCACAACTTTTTCGTAAAACGCAGACTTTGCGTACTGTTTCTCGACGTTCAGCATGTAATGGAGGTCGCGGAGCCAGTCTCTGTCGTCGTCGCAGCGTGTCTGTGAACGTCTGGCGGCGGTCTCGTACTCCTCGACCTCGTAGACGCTGGATGCGCCACCGTCGTGTCGCATAATGGCCTCGAGTGGCGAGAGCCTCGTTGCTTCCACAATCAGGACTCGAACGCGATGCGACATGGGCGTTTTCGTAATCAGGGTCTCGATATGACAGGCGTTGTCGCGCAAAATGCACAGGGCCGTGTAAACGCGCATCGTAAAGTTTACCCACTGCGTTCCCTCGTTGCGGAAGTATCTTAGCGCCTCGGGTAGCACGCGGGTCCAGTCGGTCGTGACCAAAGACGCGTAGCGAACAAAGTCTTGTAGACTCCTCTTATCGCCGCGAAGCCAGAACCACACTCTGACTAGGGCTGGGTTCGTCTTTTCGTAGAGGAGATGCGAATAAAGGTAACCCAGCACCCGCTCGCTACCGTGTACATTTTCGGGACGCATCATGCGAAACACTTCCATCGAGGGACTAGTCCCGGTCGGCGGATCATTGTCCTTGAGAAACTCGTACACGTCGATGGGCACGTCCCCGCTCGAAAACTCCTTTCCCGTGGTGGAATAGACGAGTTTCCCGTAAAGTCTAAACACGACGTCCGCGTCGTAGTCGTGCTTCCTCAGGAGCTCGGCTGCCACCAGTTCTCGCCACAAGTGCTTGCCCACCCAGGTGTTTGCGGCGCGCGCAATCGCACGCAGCACAACCTCGGAGGCCTCGTTCCCGGCCGATACTCTGCCTTCGCGCCTCTCCAGAAAACCAAACACGTCCGCGTGCTTGTCCAAGAGCCGCTCGGCTATCGCGTTAGTCTTTTCGATCACGGTGGTCCACAGATCCATGTCGTGAAACACCGACCCGTAATCCAAATTGTCTTTTGAAGAAGAATTTTCTCTAAATACGGAGCTCATTGCGTCTTCTTCCGTTTCGGCGTCGCACACGAGCTCAAACAGTTTCACCGCCGCGTCTCCGTGTGCGAGTTTGGCCGCGAGGCTCGGATGGACGCGCTCGCTCCAGTCTGTTCCCGGGATCCGTTCGCGAGGCATCCGCCTGACTCTCTTGATCAGGCCGGCCCAATCCAGCCTGTAGTTTTCAAACGTGGACACCGCCTCACGGTATCGCTCGAACAGCCCTAACAACCTACGCTCGTCCTTCCGCAACTCGTTTATAAATTCGATCACGGTAGGGTTCAGTTCGCAAACCACGCCCTCGGCCAGCACGGTGGCCATGAGTTTAACGTCGATCCAATCGTTTCGGTAATTGAAGGCCCGAGAATGAGAGGTCATCATGGTGTCGTACTCTTCTTTCGAATAATACTCGCGCATCCGCCGAAAAAACCACTCGCAGACGGTGGACCGCTTCGCGAATGTCTTGGCCGCTTCCACGACCCTGACGAGAAAGTACTCGTCCAGGTCGGGGTGATCGTCCACGTAATTCAAGAGCGGAACGTTGGACCGAGCGTCCTTCAGGGTCTTCTCCATTATTTCGCACACCAGGGCGGCCAGCTCGTGGTTGCCCGCCGCCAACAGAGCGTACTTGCGAAGAATCTCAACGTCTCTCTGAAGTGGCGGCGGGGGGAAGCGCCCAAAGAACACGTTTAGAGCCGTCTGTGTCTTTTCAATCGTGCGAACGCAAGCGACGTGCGCGAGAAGAAACCTCATACTGTCGACCGCGTCTCTGACATTTGCGAACGTTTTGGCAAAGGCACTCGGGTCGCACGACTCGCCCAGTTTGGCTCGAATCTTTGCCAGGGCCTCGGCCGCGTGTAAAACCCTGCCTCTGTAATCGGCGTCCGAGAGCACCACTTGCTTGACGACGCGATAATACAGACTACACAATTCCGGAGGAAACACGCCGAGTATCTCGTTGTACAAGTTCTTTACCGACGACACCGTTTTGAGGAGTTGCACTATCTCGGCCGTGTTGTAACCTCTTTCCGTGGCCAGAGTGGACAGCCACTCTTTGGGCGACCGCGTTCCGCGCGTCGTCTCCAACGCCGCGTCGTATCCAAATACCCCGTGGCGGTCTTCCGTGTAGTCGCTACCAACTCCCGTCAGAAAACCCCAGTGCTCTCCGAACGTAGTCAGGCGGCCCACTTCTTCGATCACGGTCCGCGTCCTATTCAAGCTTTCTCTGATATTGTCTTCCAGTTCTGACAACTGCGATTTATTTAACGCACCGGTACGCACGATTGCGGCCCTGAGGTTCTCGTTGTCGATGGTCGCGTCCAGAGGCACGGGCGATATTCGCTCCTTGGCTCTGCGCATGTGATCGATGGCATCGTCCGTAAATACCTTACGAACGTGTGCCTCGTAAGCCGCCAACGAACACACCAGGGTCTCGGCGTGAGGCACGTACACTTCGGCTAGAGACTCCTTCGACACCGTTCTGCCGTCGCGCATTGCCTCGAATTCGTCGTAGAGGCCGGCCTGCGCGCTAACCGCGTTCAACGTCTTGGCGAATGGCATACAGTCGCGCTGGTAGTAGTAGTTGGTCAGGTGGTTGGGAAAATCTCTCCCGACCGCAAACGCCGCAGACAACACGGCCCGATGCTTTTCAAAGAGAGCGGCCCCTTCGCGTATCCTGTCGGCGATTCTAGCTAGTGTCGCTCCAAACTCGGCCAACTCGTCGGACGCCACTCTGCCTAGGACGTCCTTGGAGGCTCGCAAAAACTCTTGGTCCGCTTCGAGGGATCTGACTCGCGCGCTAGTTTGGGGCACCACGGCTAGGATCTCTCGCCTAGACTCCACGTGCGTCTCGTACTCTGCGTCGTAGATACGGTAGTGCTTAGAGGCTCGTTCGTAAGACGCCACGGCCTCGTTCAACTCCCCAGTGGTGTTCAAGTCTAGGCTTTGGACAAGAGACGCGAGGGAATTTTTGACACAAGCATCGTAAAAGGCCAGAAACACTTTATATTCGCGAGCGTTGGCGACTCCCGACTG